TATTTATTTTTTAGTTCTCGGCGGACACAACATCTTTGTTGGTATGTGGTGCTGAGGATCCAACCCGGGCCGCACGCATGCCAGGCGAGCGCGCTACTGCTTGAGCCACATCCCCAGCCCCCTCATTTAGTCTTCACAGTGGCTCTGTGCAGTTGTTACTCTTATGATCCTTACCATATACATGAGGAGACGTAGATATATAAATTTGCTCAAGGTGACACAGCCAGGCAATGGGAGAGATGGAATCTGAACCCAGGCGGTCGGGCTGAGCAGAGCTCAATGATGGAGCACTTGCCTAGCATGTGTAGGGCCCTGGGTTGGTCCCTCATACTGCAAAACTGCAAACCCGGGGCAGTCTGACCATAGACCCGCGTCTCTAAGCAATACGCTATAATATTCCCCACAGTAATTAAAGCCATGAGAACAGATAAGTCTACCTGAGGAAGATTGTTGTACAAGAGGAGAACGTGAAGGGGACTTTGCTTTTTAACTTATATCATCCTATACTGAAATAATTTTTATGCAATAAGCATTGTTCATGTGTCATGTGTGTAATTCATTTAATTATTTTTTGTGTGGTACTGGGGATTGACCCCAGAAGTGAACCGCTGAGCTAGATCTCCAGGCTTTTGAGACAAGGTCTTGCAAAGTTGCTTGAGCTGGCCTCAAACTTTCAATCCTCCTGCCTCAGCCTCTAGAATAGCTGAGATCACAGGCATGTGCTACCATGCCCAGCCTATGTAACTAATTTTAAAGGATATTTTATAGGATTAGGGCAGAGCCAAGATTAGAAAATATGTTAGCTCCAGTTTTTTCTCCTTGGTTAAGGCTGCCATAATCACCTGCCTTTGTGTCTGTCAACAGAGCTGAATCCTATACACAGCCACGAGAAGACACGCACGCCTGTAATCCCAGCAGTTTGGGAGGCTGAGGCAGGAGGATCACAAGCCTCAGCAACTTAACGAGGCCCTAAGCAACAAAATAAAAAGGGCTGGGATGTAGCTCAGTGGTTAAACACCCCTGGGTACAATCCCTGGTACCAAAAGGAGAAAAAGGAAAAAAAAAAAAAAGGAGGCAGCATGCAATGTCCTCTGAACACTTTGTAGATGATACAGGAAGTATTATACACCCATGGCCTTGAGAGTAGGCCTCCTTCCTTGTGCACAGGATCCTTTCAGTGACTCCATTTCTTTCAATGATTCTTCTAGAAGACTTTACATCCAGCAGTTCTGTGTCCCCACCTAGATATGAGGCAGAAAACCTGACATGGCAGCTCCCAGCATCAGTGTTCCCATTCTTCCCTGTGGGAAACATGCCATGTGGCCTGGGATAGAAGAGTCTGTCAGAGAGCAGACCCACTGATCTCTTTGTGCACTCCTCCAGGTGTGCGATGACTGTGTGGTGTTGCGGAGTAACATCGGGACAGTGTATGAGCGCTGGTGGTATGAGAAGCTCATCAACATGACCTACTGTCCCAAGACCAAGGTTTTGTGCTTATGGCGTAGAAATGGCTCTGAGACCCAGCTGAACAAGTTTTATACTAAGAAGGTACACAGGATCTCTGGGGTTGGGGATCTGATAGGCGTTGAGGGCCAAGTATTGAGCATCTCTCTGGGAAGTTAAAATTCCAAACTCCATGCCCCCAGCTGTTGTGTGGGATAACTAAAGCTGTCCCTGAGTGCTGGCATTGGCCTCACCCTGCAGCAGCCATCGAAGAGCAGGGGGCAGTGAACCCTGAAGGCTGCTATGACAGGGTGCTCTCTCCCCTTGTGTCACAGTGTCGGGAGCTGTACTACTGCGTGAAGGACAGCATGGAGCGTGCTGCCGCCCGACAACAAAGCATCAAACCCGGTGAGGAGAGGACACTCCCTGAGAGTGCTGGAGCCTGGCCAGGAGCCGAGCTGCAGTGAGCTGACTGCCTTGCTGGTTGGCTGATAACCTCCTTCCTCACTGCAGGGCCTGAACTAGGCGGCGAGTTCCCCGTGCAGGACATGAAGACAGGCGAGGGTGGCTTGCTGCAGGTCACCCTGGAAGGGATCAATCTCAAGTTCATGCATAACCAGGTAGGTGCAAGCAGCAGCACAAGGCTTCCTGGCCCTGTTGTTCCACCTGCAATAAGGATCAGTGGCCAGGTCCCAGTGCTGTCCCAGTGAGCACGAAGGGAGTCTTGGACCAGAGGGAGGACTGGACAGCTGGCCGAGAGAGAAATCAAAGGGAGGGCACAGTGACCTTGGTGAGACCACCAGGCTCCGTGAAGGTGCAACAGGGAGCCTTTGGGGAGCTGGGATAGAGCATGAGGTGTGGTGGCCGTGCCATCCCCTCCATTAGACTCACACAGTGTGAGTGGGAGCGTCTCACTTGGCCCTCTGCGTGTCTCTGCCTTCCTGTGTTCCCAGGGTGTGCTTCGCTCCGTGGTTTTGCTTTGGGAGTCTAGACTGGCTCATCTCACGGATTTCTGGTGTGTGCGTGTGGCCTCTCTGTCCTCTAAGCGTGTGTGTTCACTTGCTTTTTCTTTCTGCTGATTCTTCTGTTCTTTTTCTTCCTTTGAGTGTTCCCACTCTGGGACCTATTCCCCAGGCCCCAGGCCCCTCCCTTTGTTGGAGAGCTCTTCAGGATCATCTTTCCTTCTTTGTGACTCCACCCCGGAGCTGACTTTTTCCCCCTCTCAGTCTTTTAACACGATGCTAACTTTTTCTCTCAGTGGACATTCATTAAGCTAATTCCCTCTGAGGCCAGCGCGACATCCCAGGTCCGTTCCCGGCTCTGACTCTTCACCCAAGTGCCTTTCCTCCCCTTCCTGATGTCCTCTTCCCAAGGCTCTGAGCCAGATCCCAACATGAGGCCCCACAACCCCTGGCCAAGCAGCAGACACTCAGGGGAGGTGGACATCAACTGCCATGGCTCTCTCCATCTGTTCGCCAGTTTAGTTCTCACTCTTCAGAGTCTAGCTGGGCAGACTGGGGTAACAGAAACAGCTGCGCAGGCTTCCTGCAGCCCCTGAGTGTATTTCCAGTCTGGGGCCTGGACTGGCAGTAGCCCTAAAGACCTGAGAATCAGCCTATCAGCCCAAGGAGGGGGTTAATCAAGTACTTTCTGTCCACAAAGGTCCTGGCACTTCCTGGGGAGGGTCTTCTGACCACATTCCAGTGTTGCGGCCTCCCCTTCTGAAGACAGCTCTTGTTAAACTACCCCCAGATGCTCTGCCTATCTCCTTGTCCTGCCCTTGGGGCGCCCCCTGGGTACACCATGTAGTATGACATTTACTAGCCTGTACCACTGCTTAGTGGTGAAAACTGAGGTCCCTAGAAGAGGCATCGTAAGGAGAGCAGGAGTGAAGGCTTTGACTCTTGGGTCCGACCTCACAGTCTGATAATAGGGAGGTGACCTGCAGCTGTCTTTTGCTGTATAGCAGGCAGTTGGGCTAGAGAAGCGCCAGACCCTCCCAGCAGTGTTTGGGAGAAGTACAGACTTGGAGTCAAGATGTGCTTGGATCTGAAGTTCAGCTTCATTATTCATGGGCAAATATGCTTTTTGATCCTATTTCCTCATCTGTAAGATGGGGGCAAACTGTGGGCCACCCAGAAAGCCATAGGAGTAGTGTTCGTAAACCTCCCAGATGATATTCAGCAAGCTGCTGCTGTTGTCACCACATACTCTTGGGAGGTCCTGGATCCTGTGTCAAGGAAGATACCAACACCTCCCACCCCAAGGACAGTCTGAGGGAAGCTTTGTGCCCGTGCCAGCCCTCTGCGCCGGAGGAGGATGTATGGAAGGGTGGAGACCTATGGGCTGAGATGGGGGACGCCGGGGGCACCGTGTCCTATGAGCACTGCCCTGGGTAGAAGGTATGGGTGGGCAGCCCAGGCCAGCAGAAGGGCCTCTGGGTTGGGTTTGACCATTAAAACTAACGCCTTCATTTCTCTCCCATGCTTTCTCCTCCGGCCAGGAGCGGAAGGTACATGCCCTTTCTGCTATCTTCGCTTCTTAGCGCTTTTGACTGTGTGTGTGTGAATTCTTCTGTCCTCCCTTTGGGAGCTAGGTTTCCTGTGTGGGGGTGGGGCTGAGGCTGGGAGAGTGGGCTCTGCTGGGCAGGGGTGGAGCCTCCGGGCCTTACCCCGCCCTCCCTCCCTCTCTTGCAGGTTTTCATAGAGCTGAATCACATTAAAAAGTGCAATACAGTTCGAGGCGTCTTTGTCCTGGAGGAATTTGGTAATTACACTATTTTGCTCTTAGGTCTGGACTCACATGGCAGTAACTCAAACCTTGGAGCTCCAGAGAAGGGACTAGGGGCAGGGAGAAGACCACCTCTGCAGAGGAGAGGAGGAGCAGAGTGTCAGGGAGGAAGGAGCCCTCAGGAGAGAGGGAAGGAGGAGGAAAGCAAAGTGGCAGCCACAGGAGAGCGAGGGGCTTAGGCCGGTTTAGAGTCTAGACGCAGGCAGAAGCTCAGCGACGTTAACACCACTTTCCCTTACTCTGCCGGCCAGTGGTCAGAAAGTTCTAGGGCAGAGCAGACTGGCAGTTCCCAAGCTCTGCTGTGTCCGTGTCGCCTGCTGCCATCTCTAGCTGCCCAGCGCTCCACCAGCCTCCCTGGCGTTGTTCTGCCCTCTGCCTAGCCTCCGTGCTAGAGGGGGTGTGGGGAGTGGCAGGCAGACTCACTAAGGGACAGAGAAGCCTAGTGGGCCTCCAGGCAGAGGGACAGTCATAGGGAAAAGCTGGAGCCGGCCACCCTGGCAGCACTGAGGAAAGGTGTAGCGGTCCTCCCGGGGGCTTTGAGTTCCTGCTGTGTTTGTGCTTCATTCTTTTGTGCCCCTCATCGCTGCTATGAAAACCTTCGTTCTCCAGCAGGTAAAGTGACCTCGGCTCGTGCTGCCTCCCAGGCCCCTGCCTCGGGCCCTGCAGGGGTGGGCGGGCTCCCTTCAACCAGCCGGCTGCTCACATTGCCAGTTTGTCTCTTCCTTTCTCTTCCCGCCTCTTCCTTTCCGCCCCCTCGTGCTGGCTCACTCTTCCAAGTTCTCTCCCTGCTGTGCTCCCTTCTCTCTTCTGCCAGAGAGATGTGTGGGGACTCTTCCAATTTAGGAGAATGACCCAGGGCTTCTTGCTCTAAGGAGTTCAGTCCCTGCTAACCCTGGGTGCTCGAATTCTACCTCCCAGGGTCAGAAGAAGGTGTGGCCAACTCTCATCCAACTTTGTCTGGCCTCCAGGGGATGCCATGTCCCTCCTCCCAGGCTCCTGGGGGCCACAGTGATGGCTGGGCCTGGGGGCCCTACTCCTTCCTCTGGCCAAGCAGAGCCCCTGCATGGTTGGGGCAGGGAGACTCCTAGTCTTGCATTCTGGGCTGTGGACATATGTGTATTTGCCTGATGCTCCCTGTCACCTCCCTTCCCGGGTGCTGTACTCGCTGTCTCCTGCTCAGTGTGTCTGCTCCAGAGCCCTCTGACGCTCTCCCTCACACAGGCAGGCCTGGGCTTCTCATGTCACTCAGGGAAGGACACTTCCAGATCTTATGGGTTTAGTGTCATGTTCCTTCTTCATCCAGCCTCAGGACCTCTGTAGGGGCTGGCAGTGAAGGGGACTATGTTTAACATGAGACTTGCGGGCTGGTGTCAGGGCTGAGTTCACAGGCACCTCAGCACGAGGCAGAGGCTAGTGACCATGTGTGCCCCACTGCAGCTCCACAGGGGCCTGGACAGCAGCCAAGGCTGGAGAAAGGCCAGCCTCTGCCACCCGGGCTCCCAAAGAAGTGGGTGGACACAGCCATCAAGTAAAAAGCCACTGCAGACTTCAGAGGACTAGCCGAGGAGTCTGGCTGGACAGAAGCCTCCCGTAGCCTCTGCTCTGTCGTAGCCTTAGCTGCTACAGCCACTGTGAGAGGCCACAGAGGGAAAGGGGACCCTGGTGCCGGGCGCTGCCGCCTGGGGGACTGGCACTGTCGCTCTTAGTTTTGAACTTTCTGTTTTGTCTCTTGCCTGTCCGGTTTTAGTTCCTGAAATTAAAGAAGTGGTGAGCCACAAGTACAAGACACCAATGGTGAGTATGCCACCCCAGCCTGATAGCCACAGTGCACAGGGCTCCCTGGGGACCTAGGACAGGAGGGGTGGGCTCTCCTGGGGACTTGGTCTAGATGCAAAGATTCAACTGAAGCAGGAACAAGTCTGCCATTCTGGGAGATGAACACACACGTACTGATCCCTCTCCCAGCAGGACACACACGAGGTCTGGCCTGGGGCTCCTGGAGCCCAGAGGCCGTGCCCAGAGCTAAGGCAGGAGCTGCCTGCCTGGCAGACCTTCCACTGTGTAGTTTGGGAGTCTCAGTGACTGATCTCCCTGTTTTCCTGTCCTCTGTAGGCCCACGAGATCTGCTACTCTGTGTTGTGTCTCTTCTCGTATGTGGCTGCAGTCCGTAGCAGTGAAGAGGACCTCAGAACTCCGCCCCGGCCTGTTTCCAGCTGACGGAACAGGTGAAGCAGCTGGCCCATCCCAGGGCTCACCCCTTGCCTCCTGCTGCTCCCAAGTGCACCAAGTGACCGTGACTGAGAAGGGGATGATGGGTGTACGTTCTGCCAGCCCTGCGCTGTGGCTTCGCTGGTCCCCAGTTATACGTCTTTTGAGTGTGTCTTTGCGTGTGTCTGTGACAGAGCTAAGCTAGTCCCTTCCACCTTCTCCCTGTCCTTATCCAGAAGACCAGCCTACTGTTCCCTCAGGGCTCAAGAGTGTGTTGGGGGGGACAATGTGAGTCCACCCTTGCGTGTCCTTGAGACATTGTGTTGTGGTTCCTCTTCCTCGGCATCGTGATCCTCCAGTGCAGGATTCCTGCTCCCCGTCCTCTGTGATCTAGCATGACAGGGCGCCTTGGGCAGTTCCACTCTGGGCAGTGAGGGAAACCTGGCCTGCCCTTCCAGACGAGGGGTGGGCAGGAAAAGGAAAGCAAGAAGCCGGGGCAGTTGGAGTGAGTGGCAGCCCCCCAGCTTCCCTGTGCATTTCCCAGTGGCAGCTCCTGCCTGTGGCCGTGAGCTCTGCTGCTGCCCACCACAGCTCCATTGCCACCGTGGGGCAGCACTGAGGGGCCACTGTGTGCCGAGCAGTGATTTTCCCATGGTCAGCCTGGCCTTGGGCATGAGAAGACAGAGTGGTTGGGGCAATAGAGTCCCAGAGACCGCTGGCTGCTCTGCCAGAGACCAGGGAGAGGCGGCCAGGACCAAGTTCATTGTACATGCCCGTATGAGGCAGTGTCTCCTGGTGTCAGGTGCCAGGAGGGAAAGATGGCCTGGGGGTGGGGGGATGATTGTAAATATCTCAGCTCCTCTTTATTTATAGAAAATGTACAGCTGTGTGAATGTGAAATAAATGTCCTTAACTCCCCTGGTCCTTGGTTGCCTTGCATTCAATGACACCTCCTTTCAGCCCAGGCTTGAGGAACCTTGTGTTAAATGATGCCTCCTCTTGGCCCAGGGCTGAAGAGGCTGTCCCTGGACTCTAAGAAACCACCATGGAGTAAAAGAATGAAGGGGATAAGGTCATCCATGACCGGGCACTGGTGTATGAGCCCCCGGCTCCTGCCTCCCGCTCTCTGGGCTTGGGATCACAGAGAGGCTGTGGGAGGAAGCTCCTTTTTCCTGCAGCACCAGGGGGCCCTGTGGGGGCTGGGGCGCTGTGAACTGGCCACTAGAGGGAGCAGCCAAACTGGTCATTGATATGTGAACAAATTAATTTAACAATGACAGAAAAGCCAAGCCCATGGTCCTCTGTCCCCAGTACAGCTAGAGTCCAGAGAGAAACTGTGACATGGCCTGGGTCGCTCTGGGCTCTTGGCCAGCACTGTGTGTCCTGTGGGTTAGAACGCTAAGAAACAACCTCAGGACCAGCCTTTGTGAAATTTCTATGCCGTGGGGGAAACTGGCACTCCCTCACTGCCGGGCCACCTCTGAGACCTGCTAGCTTCCCCCTCCAACAGGGAAACAGGCCTGATGGTGCTGAAGCTCCTGGCCCTTCCCCCGCCTGCTTCCCAGCGTCCCGAGTAGGATAGGCCGGTCTCCCACATGAGTCACAGGAGGGGATGGGCTCCTTGCTCACTGTGATGCCAAAGCAACCCGTCGGCTCTCCTCGAAGACCTCGTGGGCACAGAACTTCATTAGGCTGCACAGTGCCCCAGGCCCTGGGTTCTGGGAAGGAAAGCCTGGGTCCAGCCGTTACTGCCACCTTCCTCACCACAGCCTGAGCTGCCTCAGCTGGGGAGTGAATGCCTGAGGGAGGACCAAGGTCCCTCTTGTGTGTTTTATGGATTCAGGATTCCACTGTGGGCTTTGTGTCATCATCGGGGAATTAGGATACCTGCCAAGATCAAGTGCATGCACCTATGTATTTCTGTGAAAATAAGCACACGGGGCAAGAAGTCAGTCCCGTGACTGCACTGTTCTTTTATTGTACATGGAGAAGATGTGCCCTCCTGAAGGGCCTGCTCCCAATCACCACTTCCTAAGCCTACCCACTTTTTACCCCAGAGATCTGAGAGCTCCCTCAGCAGCTATCAGTTTCCTCTATGCAGAGCCCACTAGGCTTGCCCACCTAACTGCTGCCCTTCCTGTCCCTCCCTAGTCCAGCCCAGAGTACACACACACACACACAAAACAGCAGGAAAATGGCTCCTCCAGCGCCTCTCCAGGCTCCTGGCACGTGGGCTGGCATCCGGTTGTACCTGTGACACAGGCTCCCTTTGAGTAGACAGGTTTCCTGATGGCCACCCCTGGACCAGGAACCAAGCCTCAGCTTCTTACTTGAGCCCTGGGTGTTAGGGTGGTCTGGAATACGTACCTGGCTGCCCCTGGGAGCCAGCCTGGTCACTGAGGCACTGCAGGAGAGAAGGAGCCCATGCCACCTGAGTCTTCCCAGTTTTTCAGAAGTCAGGACCCATCAGACATGACAGAGTCAGAGCAAGCACTTAGGCCAGGATGGCCGAGCCCAGGGTCCCCACCCCTGCCCTGCTTTTTGCACCTCCAAAGCTCTGGGTAGGCTTAGGGAGTGGTGATTGGGAGCAGGCCCTTCAGGCTCCTCACCTCTCACCTCCAGACGGCACTCACACTGTGCCTCGCCCTGCAAGTTGGTGGCCCTGCAGACATAGACACCCCCGTCAAAGGGGCAGGGCTTTCTAATCTCCAGGGTCAACACTCCCTGCTTGCTGAACATGCGGAAGCGGGCATCTTCTCCCAGGTTCAGGCCATTCTTGAACCAGGAAATCTTGGGCTGTAAGTCAGGTAAGAAGAGGGAAGAAGGGAGGGAGGGAGGGAAGAAGAGAGCATCTCAGGCAAGAGGGGACCGGACAGGAACCCAGGGAGACTGGCATTGCTCTGGGGGCTTCCACTGGAGTCCCAAACTACTCCCAAGGCTGGGAATGAACCTGGAGCCAAAGTGAGTACCAAGGGGAAGGAAGCTGATAGGCAGCTGGGGGAGCCAAGGCAGAAAGAGGCAGGCTGGGGAGAGGACCCTGCCTCCCGGACCAGGGCCCACAGTTCCTACCTTGGGGCTACCCCGGACAGCACAGCAGAGGACAGTGTTGTAGCCCGCGATGACTGAGCGGTTCGTCAAGGGATGGGTGAAGCTAGGAGCCTCAGAGAAGTCCAGGGCCTTGTATTTGGGTGGCTCATATGTGATGCCTGTTGGTGATAGGACTAGTACCAAGAGAGCCACCTCAAGCTAGGCTTCCCTCCCTACACAACTCCCCCGGGGTGGGAGTGAGGGTACAGCACCTGGTCTGGGGATAAAGACAGGCTCCTTGGTGGTGGCTGCCCTGTCGCTGGGACCCACCATGTTATGGCTGAAGACCCGGAAATAGTAGCCATTGCCAATGATGAGCTCGGACACCACACAGTGGGTACGGCGGTAATGCTCCAAGACAGTGAACCATTCCTGGGGGACGGGAGGCAAGGGAGGAATCTCTGGGTCCCCCCTGCCAGGGGTCTCTTGGAAACCCCTGGTGACTCCATCCCTACTGTGAAGGGAGCCAGATCAGCAGAGGTGAAAGGGGACGAGTGGTAAGGACAGGGAAGGACAGCTGGACCTCAGGATGACCCATGGGGCCTAGGCTCACCATGGTCTTCTTGTCAGCTTTCTGTACTGTGTAACCCCAGATCTCTGTGTTGCCATCATCTTGGGGTGGCTTCCACTCCAGAGCCACATTGAAGCCCCAGGCCTCAATGACCCGAATATCCTGAGGAGGACTTGGTTTGTCTGCAGGAGACAGATCTGGTTGGATCACTGCACCTTCTGATGCTGCCTGAGCAAGAGCGGGTGGCACCAGCCCCTAGGAGTCCCTCCCTCTGCCAGCCAGGACCTGGCTGGCCACCTTCAGCAGGGATGGAAAGTGGGATGCTGTGGGTTGAGTCTCCAGGCCTGGCCTGGGCCCCACAGCCCAGCTCAGGCATGAGAGACAACTGGGCTCAGAGGAAGGTCCCGGGGCCACGCACCCACGATCTGCAGGACCAGCGTGGCCTTGTCCTCCATGTTCTCGATGCGCACTGTCACCTGGTAGGTGCCTGAGTGCATGCGGTGGGCAGCCCGAATGAACAGGATGGTGTCCGTGGGGCTGTTGCGGATGCTCACCTCCTCGCCTGCCAATGGCTGCCCCTCTTTGGTCCAGGTCACCTGAGGCCGGGGCTTGCCCTAGCGGGAAGGATTGCTTAACCCTGAACTGGCTCTCTCCAAGGGCTGGCCACTACCCCAGCCTCAAGTACATGGGTGAGGCCGCCGGGTCTGGTCAGTCTTGAGCCATCTTTCTGCTAGATGTGGCTAACACAGTGTCCTCTCCCCTCAGGGACAGGGAATGGGGCCAGCCTACCTGAAAAGGAATGAGGAGGTTCACAGGCTCCCCGACCTTCTTCTGGATGGTCTGGCGCAGGTGCCTGGGCAGCTGAAGCCGTGGCCGTTCTTTAGGTACAGAGGGGGGTGTCTGAGCAAGGGCCCTTAATGGCCCCAGCCCTCAGGGGCTCCAAGCCCATTCTCTCTTGAGGTAGGGCCCAGATGGCTGCAGCTAAGAAAAAGCTGCCTGCTGGGCGGAGCAACCCAAATCCGCTCAGCCCCAAATGATTCACAAAACTCCTGCTTCCCTTGAGCTTCACCACACTGCTTCAAGAGGCAGGAAACAGAAAGGGTAAGCAACTTGTTTGAGCTGCACAGCTGATAAATCACAGGCTTTGAGACACTATGCTCTCTGCTGCCTCTTTTCCATCTAGAGAACCAATTCTTACATGATTGATCCTTTGTTGGGACAAGGAATAGAAAGTGGATCCCAGATGACCTTATCTGATCCCAAGGCCCAGTGCCCAGTCCTGGGGACATGGACAGTACATTCCTGTTGGAGATGAGGAACTCGCAGCACAGAGCTTGGAGATTGTGGCCTGTATTCTCCCTGTTCTAGAACTGATGGGCTGACATGGAAAAAACAGGACCATTAGACATGGATGAAGGCCTGGCCCCTCCTCTGACAGTCTCCCTGACTGTTCCCACAGGACATCGAGGGCCTGGAGTGTCAGTAGCAGGTCTTGTGACGAGTCGCACTCACGCAGTATCTCCTGTACTGTAACAGGTTCCTTGGTGGTGACAGGGGCTCCAGGTCCTGCCACATTGTGTGCCCGCACACGGAACAGCAGCCGGGCCCTGGTAGGCAGGTCCTTCACCAGCATGGCTGTGCGCTCTGTCAGCCCCTGCAGGGCAGCCACCCACTCAGAGCCTGGGAGGGGGCAGGGAGGTCAGGCCACAGGCTGTGTCATACCCACCCTGCTGCCCACCCTTCCGAAGGCTGTCTGGGGGCCAGCAGGGTGCCGGTGCTGGCCTGGCAGCGGGCAGCGCCCCAGGCAGCACTCACAGCCCTCCTGGCAGTATTCCACACTGTAGCCGTCCAGGCCACCCGCGCCCACGCGCTCTGGAGGCCGCCACTTGAGAGAGACTGTGGTGTCCGAGACGTCCTCCACGGCCAGGTGGGTGGGTTCACCGGGAGGGCCTGGGAAAGGGAGGACAGAGAGGGTCTGAGTGAGCTTGCTCTGTCCAGGAAACCTGGAGACCCATGACCCAGACCCTCAACCGCTCTCCAGTCTCAGCGTGGCGGACCTGCCCTTCGGCCGGCTTTCACACACTTTCAGGAATATTTCCACTGCATTAAAAGATCTCTAGGCTGGCTTACAAACAAACAGCAACTACAAAAGAAGGGCCTAAAGAGGAACAGATAGCCAAGAGGACACACGGCTGCTTACAAGGAGCCACCTCTGTCGGTGTCTGGAATGCTATAAATGCAGTATTATAATAATAGTAAAAAAAGTTGGCCAGGCATGGTGGCGCATGCCTGTAATCCCAGTGGCTTGGGAGGTGGAGGCAGGA